AGCTAGCTAGCTAGCTAGCTGAGGGAGCAAGCTCTTTTAATATCCTATAGTCCAAGCTCTATGGCATATTACTTTATTATTACTAGCAGCTCTCTTTTATTAGTATTTGAATTTTGGGGCTTGTTGGTCTGAATGTACGTATGTATGTACGCACAAGGACACAGGCAGCCAAAACAGCCTCATCTTTGTCATTGTCTCCTTCAGTTCCCCATTTTCTGGCCGCTCATGACATTGTCAATGCTACACTGTCCACCATATATAGCAGCTCTGACTTCAGTGTAGAGTCATTAAGTCTTGCCTAGATATTTAATACCACAATACTAATGTTGCTGTTCTACTGTCTTGCTTGCCTTCTTGTTTCCATGAATACTTTTCTTTTCTACTACTAGTATTAGAATTTGGGATCAAGAAAAATCAGATTGTTTTGATAATTAAAATATCATAAATAATAATAAAAAGGTTGACATGTTTTTAATAAATAATTATATAAAAAGTTATTTTGAATATTTAAATAATTTTACAAAAAATTTTAACAATTAAAATGTCATATTTAAATTTTTGCGACAGAGACATATTTCATATGCTTCAAAAAAATGCAAATAAATAATAATAAAAAGGTTGACATGTTTTTAATAAATAATTATATAAAAAGTTATTTTGAATATTTAAATAATTTTATAAAAAATTTTAACAATTAAAATGTCATATTTAAATTTTTGCGACAGAGACATATTTCATATGCTTCAAAAAAATGCAATTCAACAATAATAAATTAACTTGTATTACTCATGATGAGTTTCTTCTGGTTTTTATTCTTTATTATTATTATTATTGGAAATTTGCATCTCTAAGCATTTACAAACCCATCCTAAGATATATTAGACCAACATAGACAAGAACAAGAAGATTGGGAGGAGAGGGGATGTGCGGTATACTCATGGACTTAAGATGCCTTTAGAGGGATAAATAAATGATACTTATGTCCCATTTAAAACCTCCATATTGAAAATGTTACTATTAGAATCTTGGAATGGTCATGGAAAGATTTTGAAAGGAAAGACAAGCCCGATCATATACAGCCGGTCAAATACATTCAGAAAGACTGCAAAAACAAGTTATAGGAGTACAGGGAGTCCCTTAATTAGGGCATGTTTAAGCTCTCAAATTCAAAATTAAAATGGAGAAATTTAATTGTAAGCCAATCATCAAATATATATAACCAAAAAAAGAAAGCATAAATAGCACCATATGAGATGAACTTTGCATCTTCAAATAAAAAACCAAGCGGACGGCAGTAGATCTCATCCGTTCCGTCCTACCATCAAACAATTTTACTCAACAGACGGGCAACGCTGATAAGGAACCCGCAATTCTTATATAACAAATAACTTGAATTTTAAATTCAAATAAAGTCACATATGATTAATAATTTAAATAATTTAGTGATAATTTTTTTTTTTACTAAAAACAAGAGATGATAAGTTTAAATCATATAACATGTAAGTAATATTAGATAACATATGGTAGAAAGTTACTTTCAATATATTGGTTAAAACCAACTTTTAGTCTCTCATCTTACAAAATTGGTAAGTTTTAGCTCTTAACTTTATAATATAACATTTTTAATTTTTTACCTTACAAAATTGGTAGGTTTTAACCCTTCATTTTATAAAGTTAGTAAGTTTTACCCTCTCACCTTATACTATAACACTTTTAATCCATTGTCTATATGAATTGAAGAAAATAACCCTCACTTAACATCATATTATAATATTCTGTTAGTTTTATTAGTTGACTGTAAATTCTACTAACTGAATGTAATTTCTGTTAATTAACTATTAGTTCTATTAACTGATTGTTAACATCCGTTAGCATTCCGTTAATAGAACTAACAAATAAAATTGAATTTAAATTTAATGTTTTTTATAATGAAATGTTAATGAATGTTAAGAGTTAGTTAATAGAATTAATAGAACGTTATAATCTAATATTATGTGAGGGTTATTTTCTTCAATTCATATATGTGAAGGGCTAAAAATGTTATAATATAAGGTGAGAGATTAAAACCTACCAAGTTTGTAAGGTGAGGAGTTAAAACCTACCATTTAAGTTAGGCTAAAAGTGTTATATGTTATAAGTTGAGGGGCTAAATGTTGGTTTTTGCCCAATATATTGTGCAAATAAAAAAAAAAAAAGTCACACCTATTGTGTCTAAAACATCACTTCTACTAAGCCAAGAGGGAAGGGACCATAAATTTAGAACTTAATTTACGCTTC